GTCATATTTTTTTCCGTGATTTTTTTTTTTTTTAATCTTACACAGAAGAAATATACACAAAATTTAAAAAAAGTGCAATGAATAAAAACTAGCGGCGTTTGAATGTCATTACTTTTATTGTAATGTTAAAAGAAAAAAAACAAATGGGACCGATTTTGATCCCATTTTTCAATTGGCTGTTTCTCACACGGTGTCTCAGAAGATTGAAAGCAGCTCGCATCAATCGAAAGACAGATGAGAAATGACCAGTTTCCAATTTACTCACGTCCAATCAGGCTAAGTGGCGCTTCACACTTCAGCTTGCCATGAGTTGAACCCCCTTTTTGTGATTCAAGTCCAGCCACTGGTTTTCCCCTTGGGGGGTCGCCGGCTGACTTTGAGAGAGATGCGGACGACACCCTGGACTGGACGCTATATCGCACGAGCCAACTTTTTACGACTCCGGAGTAAAATGACTTCCATTTCATTTTATTATGGTGGATGAATAAAATCCAAACCACTAATGTGCCTGCGTGCTCGGGGGCCGCACGCGAGCGACGGCAGGCGAGTCGAGCTGCAGGCTCTTGAGCAACGACTGCGTATTTGTGGCACCTTGAAGTCTCATCATCATCATCATCATCACACACACATGCACGGGAGGGGTGATGGTGAGCGAGAGATAAAGAGGGAGGCCACACTGGGATTTGTATCTGCGATATTGCTTCCACCAAGCCAGTGGCGTGAAGGACTAGGAATTTTAACGTAAATTTTCGCTGTGTGTGTTCAATGCACTACATGTTTGCACTGTGGTTGAGAGAGGAAAGTCATTTCATCTGTGCTGTATGTTCCACATAGAGCATATTTGACAATAAAAGCTGACTTGACGAGACTTGATTTGACTTCCGTTGTCAGGTGTCTGTACCGAACCTTGTACAGTACATTTATTTTTTCGTTAGACTACTTCCTGTCCATCAAAGAGAAGGCGACAATTAAATGCGACAGGTGAATTGAACTGTGCCTTCTGTTATGCCTGCGACTCGCCAACGGATGAACTTCCGGCTGTTGGAAAACTACAGTTGTTGCTTTACATTCAAACTTCAGCTTGCAGCCATCGCGAGTGACACCGGCCTCAAACTGCTCAATTTATGCCTTACTTCTTTTTTTCCTTCTTCTTCTTCTGATTGTCATTTTTATCAAGTTTGTTTTATCTTGAATCTGATGGACGGACGGCACTTTGTGTTGAGAGCATTGCTTGACGATGTCAGCTGGATTCTGTGCGAATACATTGCGGCTTCTGCCGTTGAAAAACAAAGAGGAAACCTGGTGCATTTTGACGAAAGTTCTCGTGAGTCACTTGAACATGATTTGTGATGTTGTCGGTTCACTTCTGATCATCGTGTCAGAATATGCCTCGTAGCAAAGTTGTTTTGCCTCTTCATTTCGAGCACTTTGCAAGTCAACAAAAGAGCCAAACTAATGCGCGCGCAGACGTTTAGTCCGCCGAGCCGAGTTATCCAAAGCGAAACGGTTTCTGCTTGACTGTCACTTTGTACCCGAGTAAATTTTGTGCCCGGACTTTTTTAAAATTCTATTGAAGTAAAGCAGTCGCGTCCGTTCTTCTTCTCCCGCGGCACTTTTGCCACCTCTGCATCAGGATGAGGTTGGCAACACTAACCAGCAGGGGGCGGGCCGTGAATACGCGCACCAGCTGTCTCCGTTCCGCTGCTTACCGGAGCCACGCTGTGGCCCGATCACTTTCGGAGATCTGGCCCGCCAGTACCCACCAGAAATGGAGGAAACTTTATTTTCACTTTCCAGGGACTTCAAAAATGCTCCGACGACATGTCTGTCACCTGCCTGCTTCCTCCATCTCTCACCTGTGCTTTGTTTCACTTTGATGTTGGTCTTCTGTTGCATCATCTTCTCGTACTGTCTCACCTCCTCCAAGCTCAGCCCTGTGAGTGGAAAACGCACACACACACACACACACGCACACACACACACACATTGTCATGCATTAGCAGAAGGAGGTGCACACAAAGAAACACAAAGCAGTGGTAATGATGGGAACTTCTCTATTACTCTACTATTTCATTGAATATAATACTACTACTGTGGCTAATTAAAGACGACTTTCAACACACACACACACACACACACACACACACACACACTGATTAATAGGTCCGCCTTCCCCAATAGAGAAAAATCACAACCTTGCATTCATGTTTAGGCTTGATGACGGCCCAACAAAGATAACGTCTGAACTATCGATTTTTAACCTCTGACTTGCTGAAAAAGTCGCTTCATCACCGTTTTTGTGCTCTAACTGAAAAGCCCGAAGATGGCCAAGGTGGTGCCAAAGCCCGGTGTAAAATTAAAGCAGTGCGCTGGCAGCATTTCGTAGTGTCTAATGGCAGGCAATCAAAAACCTTTTAGGGTTTGGCTTCTGACAGGTGATGATATGCTTGAAATGTGGCGACAGCTCGACTTGACTTGCTTGATTTTTGCCACATCGACTTGGGACTTGCTTGAAGTGGGAAGGTTTGGACTTGAGACTTCCTGATGACTTGCAAATGTTGTCCATAACTTTTGGGCCACCTCTGGTGCTAACTGTATGTCCATGCTCTCGCCATTGGGGCGGGGCCGGGGGCAAGGGGGGGCATCAATCCCGAAAAGTTCAATGCAGTGGAAAAGTGGCATGATGTCGGAATCAATCTTGGCATTGTTGTCGTTGAATAATGAAAATAAGAATCTGTTCGTGGAGAAATCTGCTCATTCACTACATTCATCTCATCAACTGACCCATTTTTGGGGGACATCGTTTTTATGTTTCTTTTGGGTCTCCCTAGCAGGCCCATCACTCTAGAATGACTTCACTCGGGAGGACCACATGCTCTTTATGCTGCACCCTCTCCACACACACACACACACACACACACACGCACACACACCCACACACACACACACACACACACACACACTAGCCTCACTAAAAAGTGTTTTTTACTTCAGGCTACACAGCTGTTGATTCCCAATCCAGAGTTCTCTTCACATCGCGTGTGTGGAAATGTTTTTATTTTCCCATGCGAACGTTTTCCTGCAAATTTGTAACATTTGATTAAAGCAAACCTTGAAGTAATGACCACGTTGCTTTTGCCGCGTGGCTCATGACTATGCATCTGGGATTTGCATAATGCGTTGGAGTGTAGTTTTTGCCCCAATTCGAGAAAAAAACAAAAACAAACCAAAAAAAAACCCCTCCATACAGAGCCATGATGCTGCCATTAAGTTTTGAGCTCTACGGGCGCGTTGGGAAATGTTTTGCAAGCATGCACTGCTTCGCTCCAACCGTTGTCGAAATGTGTCGTTTGGTTATTCGGAGGGCACCAAAAGCGGCGTGCTGGCAGGCTTTCGAGGGCGCTCCAACTGGGGACACGGTGCACCGGTGCGTCAAGCATTACAGATGGAACACAGTTCAAGCGCGAGCTGCTGATTGGTTTACAACATCGGCTGCGTTCGGAAATGAATATGAGAGGGCAGCGTGCTCTGCCTCTCTAAACAGACACAATCACAGAGCGGTGCACGGGCCGCAGGGTGAATTTCCGAACGGGACCCTCACGTTCATGATCTCGGTTTATGCCAAAAATTTTATAAAAAATTAAAAATCGCCATTCCTTGACTAGTCTGACTAAGAAGGAAGAAAAATAGCCGGAAAACCTGCCAAATCGTGAGGTAAAAATGCACTCGATGAAGTTACGGTCGCAAATGAAAATACGCTACAGAGTGAATCGGCAACAACCGAAGTAGCGAAGGGGCATGGTGTCATTTGAATTTGCCCGCGGAGATGATAAAGAATCGCTAATTATTAATCCAATGACTCCGAACGTCTTTCCCAGCGGGTATGACTTCCCACATGATTGTTGAGAGAAAAGAAACGGCCCGCTGCTCACTGCATCAGTTCGAGTTGAATAAAGTTTAGTGGCTGAAATAGCGATCCCGCGCCGTTGTTTTTCGAGATTTGTTTTTAAGATGGCACCGGTCAAGGAAACGCACAGTGAGTGGCTGACTCTCCAGTTGCACCAGCAGTGCAAAGGTCAAGTGCACGATTGCATGTTGATGTCATGGAGTGAGGTGAGGCGTCGGGTGTTCTTTGACCCACCGTGCCATTCGTCCACCCAAGCCACTGCTTGCCGGTGACCAATCAGGAGGATGTCCCGAATGTTCTGACGAAAGAAGAGATGACAAGACAATAAAACGCCACGCCCTGCAAACTCTCTCACACTTTCCTCGAATTTTCCAATGCGGCTCAGCATTCACACAAACATTCAGACGGTGGCGACATCGCCATCACACTTGTCCAAAACCTGATGTAGGTATTTCCCCCCCCCCCCCCCCAAAAAAAAAATTCAAACCACCTCGATATCAAAACAGATCATATCAATGACTGGAGATCCAGATCAAATGAGCCGAAATTTGCAAGAATTGGTTCTGGATTATAGGCCACATTTTATGTTGCGAATCAGATTTCAATTGTTCAGAAATCAATGAAAGCAAATTATGTAATAATCATAACCTTTTTTTTTGGGGGGGGTGGGATGCGCTGCATACATTTGCCTGTGCGCGAAGGGGTTGCGAACAGTGCGCGACTGCACATGCGCAAGGCTTTGAGGGAACATCGCTTGTCACTGTGACTGTGACTGTTCATGGAAACCGGCACAACATTTTGTTTTTTTGCTTTCTGTCCTTTGCAAATATCGTTTCCTGAATTAGTTATGATAATAAAAGCTGCGGCCCAATTAGCCGCCCGCACGTCATCCCCATCAAGTAACAAGGAAGACTGTCATGAATACTTTGGCAGCTTGCGCCAAGAAAAAAAAAAAAAAAAAAGTCACAAGGTTTCCGTCTCACTTTGTGGATGAAATCCTCAGTTTTGGTCTGCAAGCCGTACACCTCGAAGCTGCAGTGCACTTTCTTGTAGGAGCACATGATGGGCTGGTGGTCCTCCCTCCAGCCCTCCTCCAGAGGCCCTCGCTGAGTCTTACGCGACTGCCAGCGAGACAGGTCCTGCGCCGAGCAAACACAGGTCCCATCAGCAAAGGTGCCGAGCCAGCGGGGAAAAAAGCCGGCCGGCCCTGTGAGGCGCGTGAACAGGACAAGTCGGGATTGCGGGCGAGCAAATGCTGTTAAAGTGTCACGGTGTGCATCGGCGACTTAAGGGTGATTAAAACGGTGATTTGAATATCCTCCTCGTGCCGTTTCAAGCGGGACTCGCTTGCGATCTTGTTTTGGGTTTTTTTTTTTGTTCGTAATTATTCTTATTCTTATTTTATTTTTATTTTTTTTAAGAGAAGGCGTAAATGGTGCGCATGTCTGCCTCCGCGTTCAGAGCTTCTGGATTCAAAATCACAAATCGTGAGCCCCCGACGCGGACACTCATGTCGCCGTCGCCTGATGCCTTTTGTGTCGTATGACTGGACGCACCTCGGACTCTTTGTAGTGCTTTTCGGGTATGGGGTCACTCAGGATATCCAGGAAACTCACATGCTCCGCAGGTGTCGGCGTGCCGAATATCTTGGTCCCAAACAGAGAGAAAGCATGTGAGGAGATAAAAACAAAGACAAGCTTCAACTTGTCTGTCGGTGTGTGAGGAGGCCGAGTCCCCTCGCCGAAGTGCACATCAGCCAAAAGTCATCTGGAGTAAAAAGAAGCCCGGTAATTCCTTCCTTAAAACATTAGTTTGGAGACGGCGGAGGCGTACATCGGGAGTCCGATCTGGACCAAAATGTCGAAATTAGGACTTGTTATCGAAGGCATCAGCTCGGTCGATGTGCCCTCGGCGTACTGTCGCGTGAAAACTACATTTTGACATCGCTGCCTTGATGCACACGTACGCCGTGTAATCATGCTCAAAAAGACTTGAAATTGAATTTCTCCTTGTAGCAAAAAAAATAAATAAAAAGGGAATGGAATTACTGGGAATGACATCGTATTTTTTATTTTTTATTTTACGTAATACCTATTCAGGGAACTTCACGATGTCTTGTAAAATTGACACAGCGCAGAAATGAGTGTTGCTAACAACCCGGCACTACCCTAGAGTGTTTTGTAAGTTATGTACGCGAACTGATGTCAGTTACTCCAGCGGCTAATTCTCTCTCACCTCGCCCATACTCACATTGTCGTTGGAGCCGTTGTTGTTCTCGAATCGCGTCTCAATACGGACGCTGAACTTGGGCAGAAATGACAACTGGAAGGTGACCGGAAAGCAACGTCATTAGAGTTGACGAAAACTCATGAAATGACTCCCAACTTCAAATTGGTGAATTGAAATGAAATGAAAACACAAAATGCTTTAAAAAAAAAAAAAAAAATGTTTGTAAAACAACCCAAAACTAGAATCATCGAGAAATTGTCCTTTGTGTTCTGGGTTCATTTTGAATGTATTCTTTTTTGTATCGCTGGACGTCCGTAAAGAAAACGGAAGGCCAAACAGTTGTTTGTATTCGGGCGGAGTATCGACTCCGATCGGACAAATCGATTCGATTCACGATTCACTTCGGTTTATTTTCGATTCACGAAATCACTTTGCGCAGTCCTGATTTGACTTTGACGATTTCAGAGCCTCCAGCACGTTGTTTTCATTCAACGCGAAAAGTCACAGGAATTTACGGGAAAAAGATTGATGCTTTCGTGAACCAATATCGGACCATCAATGGGAAAATTGGAATCAATTCTTCATTTTTTTTTTTGGTTAGGCCCTAGTGTGTACACATCGCTTGAGCTCTGTTGGGAGTCTACGTATGATACGGAAAGAAGACTTACCGAGTATTCTGTCGTGCCGCAGATGTTGAATATGGAAAAAAAAAAAGGGGGAGGTGTGAAACTGCGTTAGCTACTCCCACATGCATCGACATGGATTTGCTGTCATGCGTATGCGCTCAGACACACATACGAGCAAATATGATCAATATTTGATGGCACTCGTGCAAACATTTGTTGAAAGTAAACATGAGCTGCATAATGATTGGGCGTGAAAGCGCCGCTTAACAATGAGGCAAACAACAAATAAACCAACAAGCACCTGTGATGGTGTACGGGTAGAAATTCCAGGCCTTCTCCGTCACGTAGAAGAACCGCGGGGCAAACGCCTTCGCCCAGGCTGGCAGCTTGCTGAAACCGCACCGGGAGGAACGAGGACGGGGAGTGGAGCCATACGCGCACACACACACACACACACACACACACACACACATGCACGCACGCACAGAGAAAACAAATTCAAGAAATGAGTTTCGTCGCCAGATTACCTGTGGGCAACTCTCTTCACGGCACTTTTTGTTTTGCGTGACTCATGGTTGGAAAGTCACGGCTAACGCTTGTTCCGCGTCACGTGGTTGCAAGCAGTCAAAATCATTTTTGGGGCGTGATCATGTGGCGATGCGTCAATTTCCATGGGAGCCAAATTTGGTTGGCTGAGGACGCCTTTCTCGGAAACAAAATACTTTTTCAGGTTCTTTTCAGGTCATACTCCACACGTTTGCCTACTGGCTCGCGGTTTTTATGGCAATCACTGGATCAATCAGGTTTTATTTAAAAAGCACTTTTCCTATCCCCCCCCCCCCCCCCACCAAAAAAGTGGTCCACATGGATCATAAACAACTTATGCATGTCGGCCATTCCACTCAATCCATGCCATTCGCTCGTCGGAAATCTTTCAGAATAAAAACTCTCAATGTGATGCTAGTACCCAAAATGTCAGGCAACGTTCTTTTTTTTTTTTTTTTTTTTGGTCACTGTTAAACTGAAGCGCCTTATTTGACTCAGGCAGGGGTGTCAAACTCATTTTTGTTGCGAGCCACATTATAGTTACCGTTTCCCTTGGAAGGCCATTGTGAACCCATATAAAGGAGTCAAGAATAATCTTTTTTTTTTTCTTCTTCTTAGTTACTGTAACGAGGTTTGGTCACAAGAAAATGTTATTTATTACATATGAGAATTTGAAATTTTGGTGCAGATTTTAGGAAGTAGCATGGAAATTGCCATGTTCGATTGGCTTTTCTGGGCCACGTAAAATGATGCGACAGGCCAGATTTGGCCCCTGGGCATTCAGTTTGACACCCATGGACTAAGGGAGCTAATTGTAGGAATGAGTTTTTACTATCGAATTTGCTCACACATGAACTATAGCTACATGGCATTTGTGCTAATACCATGTTGATCCTAAGCATAGTCCAAAGATTTAACAAAAAATGTATATAAAAATAAACAAGTGAAGTAAAAAAAATAAATATAAATACTATGAGTCAAAATCAAATATGCTAATGAGTGAACTCCATTTTAGGCCTTCCCGCTGCCCGCAGAGGATGTGAATAATGCAACTTTTATGTGACTTGTGGAAACCTCTGGCATATCTTTATCGATGAGGATGTGAAGTTGTTAAGGTGAGCCATTATGGCGTTCACGGTCCCTACTTTGGCGATGGGTGTGAGGACTCCTGCAAGTTCTGCTCAGCTCAACGTACCCATTAGATACTAAGTACAAGTATGCGTGTGCAACAGCTCAACTTCTTTGCTGATGCCGACCAAAAATTTCTGGAGTGAAGTCACAATGTACTGAGTGCATTTGAGCAGGTTTGTCCTTTCAGAACTGGGTGGTAAAATTTCAGCATCGAATGTGAATCTGTATGTGTGTAACGTCTGGCATATCTCCACTAATGGGGACCGAAAGTCCCAGGAGCACAGAAAGATTAGGAAAATCCTCCGCGGTGTGAACATTTCTTCTTTCGGAGTTTATTTTCAGATTAGTTGGCGGCTTTAAAGTGGTGATTAGAATAAGCGTCGAGGTTGCTTGAGGTTAATGAGTTAGGTGAGATTAGGGGTGGGAAATTAATTTCGCAGTTAAAAAATTTGGAGGGACAATCACCATTATCTTTATCAATGGCAACAATGTCAGCGTCAATTGCGGCACATATGTGCAAACCTTACCCAGAAACGGCTCAGATCATAACAGGACAAAAGTAATCATGGCCGTGCCATAATTACTGAAAGCTAAAAAAAAGAAAGATTGCCCCTCTCATCACACAACATGTACTCGCACTTGAGAATTCTTAAGCCGTCTTGGCACTGTCATGCGGTATCGGCCTCAGCATGTCGCTGGCACTTGGACTTTGCATACAGACAGTTCAAACGTCACTCCGGGAAGGTGTTGTGTCGAAAATGCTTTGACTGCACGCGCTGAAGTCATACTTGGATGGCAGATTGTGCAGTTAGTCATCCAACGAAACGCAATCGGATGCCTTCATGGCGCTGCCCCAAAGGAAAACAGAATTCTTCTTACCTGCTGAGGTAGATTCGTTTCTCCGTCACCTGTCCCGGGCCGTGCTGGGGGTGAGTATCGGCCTCGTTCCTCACCACCTCCACCCCTTCTCCACTCCCGCTCTGCTCGCAGCTGTGCTTGCTGATCATGTACAGTTGCCCGATCTTGTACTGGAGCCAGAGCGAGACACGGGATTTCAGGCAACATTTTCCCACATTGCAAAGACGCAAACAATCTTTGATCAAGCCAACACGAGAGGATGAATACGCGACTTGGCGCCGTAACGTTGAAGCTGACGTATTCTGTTGGCGCAGCGCCGTCACGACAGGTCAACAATGGCGCCCTTTGAGAACAGCCGCTGACAAGTAGTACGTAACATTTACGGTACAGATATACGGTAGACCAGGAGTCTGCTGTCGGCAGACGCCATCTTGACTTTGTCGCCCAAGAACTCTGAATGGACTATCAACAATGAAGCCAGAGAGCAGCCATCTTACGTTGCCACTGTTTGTGACAACTTGGGATACCCCCCTCCCCTCCCCCCCTCCACTAGAAACATCGGTGCTTGTTTTATGCTATTTAAGATCCCTATCTGAAATAACGAGAGCCTCTTAAAAAACAAATTTGGCTGTTTGCGTGGACCATTCAGCGTACATGATCTCAGTTTGTGAATTGTGACTGACAGAACTTCGGTTTACATTTTTGCCGCGATGGGCTTTGCTTTCATTTCGTCATTGATGGCTCTGACCACATGATGCAGAGTAGCACTCAGATGTCTTTTGTTCCTTGTAAGAGAACATTTCAAAGGAAATGTGCATGTAGCCCTTCTCTCAGACTTATTGGTACAACCACATGCCGCACACGGTGTCATTTTCGCCGCGTACAAACCAATGCGTTCAAGTTCGGCGGGCTTCGTGAGTTCCTTTTTTTTCTCCCCTTTTTCCAATTAAAAACTTGATGATTTGTGACATATGATTGTCCCAGGCTGGATCCACATCAAAATCCTGACCCGATGAAAGTGTGTTTACTATTTGATTCCCAAAGTGTTTGTATCTAAAAATATCTCGTTAAATTTAAACGGAGTTCTCTCATTCCGTTTGTTTGCTAAACTTTGAGCGTGTACACAAGGAAATGTTTTATTGTTCTGGCTGGCTGCGTTGTTCAATAGCTGCATGTTTGTCCAGTGAGAGCAAATAAAAGTGTGTCTGACGTTATCGCGAACAAATATGCGACATAATTCTGCATCCCAATTCCGTCTCCCCCTGGCCTGTACACACAATGCTCAATAGGCAAGCCGGCGGTTAATGGCGTGTTTATTATGTGCCACTGTTTAGCGGTGCTGGGGATTATCAATGTGCCCCTAAATAGTACCAAAAAAAGCATGAAATAGTTTTCTATTGTGTCAATCATTGGAGAAATCGATCAGGCCTTGTGGAATTGCCTTTTGTCGACAAGATGCAAGTTACAAATAGGGCCTGACAGATGTGTTTTTTGAGGCTGATGCCAAGTCCAATATTTGGCAGAAAAAAAATCCAATAACCGAATCGTCGGGCGACTATTAAAAAAAACACTTATTGGCAAAGACAGATATGAATTATAGGCAGAACATTTGACTGTTTGACACGACCTAGTCCTTTAGTATTTGTTTGTCTTTTCAGCAGAGAGAAATTTCCCAGTACAAAAAAAAAAATGGTTGGATGTTTAATCGAAATTTCAATTGTGATTTCACCTGATCGTTAAAACGATTCATGCGTAGAGCGGAACGTTGCTTTTACAAATTCCCCACGTTAAGAATGTACCCCGAATGCACCATGTCGCTTGTGTAGCAAACGTTTCGCGTTTATGTGATCTTGCCGTCCCTGAGCCTGCTTTGGACTGTTTCATGATAACACTAGTTGACGTTTACTGTTAAACTAAAAGAAAAAAAAAAACAATTTCATGTATTGTATATTTAAATATTTTGTATATTTAAGTACAATACATGCGATGTTTTTAAGACATTTCTAGCACTAATGATAAGTCTATGGAGGATCCCATTCAAATGCTAACCGGAAGTTAGCATCGACTTTGGGACTGATATTCCTTCAAATAAAACACAAACGCAGTGGAAATACATACACAGAGGGAAGATAACACCACTCAAAGGCCACGAATTCATCCTAATCTGTGAAATACAAGTTATATTCACAGCGTTCAATCCTAACTTCTTCTGTTCTCATTTCAAGTGTGTACTCCATCCCTGCACGGCACCACACTGCCCCTATGAGGCCAAAACGCGCAAAAATTGCAATCAAAATAATCCAGATTTTTTTTTTTTTTTTGACCGCTGTGTATGTACATCCAAATGGGATGAATCCATGCTGTCAAAGGACGAACGTGTTGTTTTGATGCTAATAATGATACACACTGTGTGTAAGAGGTCGTTTGGCTTGCTGACACAATCTTTTTAACCTCTCAAGTTCAGTTCCGGCACGTTCATATACTTCCCCTCTGATCTTGCTTTCCATTTATCTTGCCTTGGCTCAACATTATTTCTCATAAATAATTCTTGTCTACTTTAATTAAAAAAGAGCTTTGTTAGCATAGGATGGAAAGAAAAAATAAAACGCATGCAAAATGTGATTCATTTCTGTCACACCAAGGCAGGTGACAAAAGAAAAATGAGGCGAAAAAGGAGATTTGAGGCATCATCCTTCACTAATGACATTTTGATGACGCTACTCCTCCTCCTTGCTCTAATTACTGTACAGTGTCAACACGCAACATTTACTTACAAGTCATTAAAAAGATCTTTTTTTTTTTTTTTTTTTTAAATTTTGGCACAGCCAAGGTAGAACGGGCCCTGCCAGATGAGCGGCTAGATTTCGCATGAAAGATTTGGATGTTTATCTTTCAGACAATCCCAGCAACGCGTGATGTCGAACAGGCTTGTCTGCTTTTCAATCACAAGCACAAATTCTTAAAAAAAAAAAAAAAGACAGTGCCAAGAGACTTGGCATTCATTTGCTTCCTGCAGTTTTCAGAGAATAAAGGTGAGGATGACTTTACAAAGAGCCAACCCGTCCGTCCCTCCCGAGCATGTGGAAAGGTTTTGAGGCGTAGTTTTTTTTTTTTTTTTTTTTTAGAATTGTTAAAAAGACATCTTTGCATAATTGTTCAACACTTTGTCTTTCCACTGGCAGGCCAAACCCAATGAAAGATGTCAAATGTTCAATTATGGATGAATATTTTTATATGCCGAAAAAAAAAAATTCTCATTACAATTTGTGAACTTTCAATCATGTCCAGTTTGATGATTCTTATTGACTATTAGTACTAATAGTATATGATTAAATAACGTCAATTGCATCGAGATTGATAGAGGATGAGTTGTGGACACGAGCTTTAATTGACTTGTAGCACCTCGGGACTTGTGTGTTTCTCACCAGACGCCATCACGTCAGTCAGTTGGCAAATTGGATTCTCCGACTCGGTATTTGGTGGCTGAGCGGCCCCGGCTCGTGTGTTGTTCAAGTTGATAGCTCATACCCGCACATCAACGGCACGCCTTTTAAATTCCGCGGAAAGGCTTTGAAGGCGAGCGTTAAGTGCACCCCTGATGTGACAGCGTCTTAAATGAGCCGCAGTCGTTCTTAGATTATTTCAGGTCAAGGAGGATTTGCTGCAGAATGAAGCTCCCGTGAGCTACGCTGATACAGTCAATCCCATCTTGGGTTCCTGTCATTGTTAACAGGTAAAACAAGGAGGGAGGGGCCGTAGGGGGGGTGGGGCAGTAACAGGAGTCAACTAGGAAGAGGACACGCTCGCTCATCCCTGTGACATCCCGCCCTTTGCCGGGATCGACTTTGTACATAAACTTGCAGGGTCAAAGTTTTTTTTTCTTTGTGTTATGGGTATCGCCAAACGCTAATCCGGTCCAACGGGTTTGCAACTGTGCAGCATGGAGTGCTTTGACACGCGGAGGAAGAGGAGGGAGAAGTAGATGTCGGCGATACTCATGTGTCATAGAACAACGGTGTTGCCAATCAACTAGCAAATCGTCCCGGAGAAAATACTTTTGCTTTCTTGTGCTCAGTTATGTAACATATTTGTCCTCATTGCTAAAAGCGCAACCGAAAGTAAGTAGAGTCGTACAATGTGGGGCGTTTCCTCCATGACCTTGCTCTTAATTTGATTTGCATCGTTTAAAACATTTTTGTGACGTGTTTTCAACGCAGGGAAATAGCGCCGCATTGTAAAAACAATATTAAAGTGAACACTAAGAAATTTGGCTACTTTTGTAAAGTGGGTTTACTTTATGTGCTGTCGCGGGCGATAGAAAAAATAATCAAAAAATTTTTTAATGTGATTATTTATCCTTCCAGCCATTTTCTAATCCGCTTCTACAATACAATAATAGATATATATTGTATTATCCTCACAAGGGTCGCGGGCTTGCTGGAGCCCGTCCGGGCTGTTTTGGGGCAGTAGGCGAGGTTCACCCCCAACTGTTTGCCAGCCAATCGCAGGGCAGACGTAGACAAACAACCGTCCGCGCTCACAATCACACTGAGGGACAATTTCGAGTGTTCCATGAACCTGTCGTGCATGCTTTTGGAACGTGGGAGTACCTTGAGAGAAAAGCCACGCAGGCACGGGGACAACATGCAAACTCCACACAAGAAGGCCCGAGCCGGAATCGAACTGTGCACTTCTGTACTGCGGGGCAGACGTGTTAACCAGTCGTCCATCGTGCCGTCCTGTAATTATTTATTGATTTCAAAATTTTGTGTTTATCCAATGACCAAAACGTCACTTTTTATGTAACTTGAAAAAAAACAACTCGAAAATCAATTGGTAACATCGCATTCAAATAAGAGCAATTACAAACATGGAAGACAAAATATTGGCTGCTCCTGCTGTGTGCGCCTTGGCCTCTTGGGGCAGCGTGGCGCCAAACAAGCAGTAAGATATATAGTGTATAAAAAATGTTGACTGCTCTTTATTCATGTATCTTTTTTTTTTCACAGATTAGGAAGAATATATGATTTTGGTTATGAGTAGGAATATTCGTATCAGAAATTGCTACTAATTAATTTTGTGTTAGCCCGTCAATGGGGATTTTACATCGACTGCTAGCATGAACGCTGCCAATGTTTATTACACTTTTGGTGAAGTTGTCATCGTCAACGCTTAAAATACTGCAATTCAAAGTGTTTAGTTAGTTAGCAACTCGAACTGAAGTAGAAAAACGGTCTTTCATATGAACGCATGCTTCATTAGCCTTTACTTTAGCCTACGACTAACAGAAAAGACATATCAAACTTTTATGTATCATGTTAGCATTGCTTGTGCTTGTTTCAGACATGAGAAAAGTTGGTTGAAAAAATAAGCATAGAATACATTTTGATCATAATATTGAGTGAGAGGTGGTGGAATTTGCAATTAGCTTATTTTTCAAACTGTTTATCAGGAGGGACTCTGAATACACACCGAAGCACCAGAGTTCGCATTTAAAAACCCCCAATCTCAGAACTGTACTCATCACCAATTACTGAAAAGGGGACATTGACCGCAACATTGTTACTTTTGGTTTATTTATTTATTTATTTTTTGTGTCACTTATCGGAAAAGCAAGGCAGACGGCAGCAAAATGGAATAATAAAAACAACTGAAAACTTAGTATGATCGTTGCTTCAGCCCATCGCAAAATTCCCGGCAGATTAGTTGAGTGGCTTTAGCGTAATCCCGCCACGAGTGTGAAAACATTCTCCCTCCTTGGCGGAGGTCATCAAAGCTCAGGTCACGACAGACACACTTACCTCATCCACAGTGAGCGGCATGCATATGCGGTACTCTTTCACCAACATGGTGCTGCCGATTTGGTTTTCTTGGTTTGTTTTTGGTGCGGTGTTTGGGTAGCTCGCATGCAGACACGCTTTGGCACACCGGTGACCTTTCTGGAAAGGCTCCTCTTCTGCTTTTTTTGGAGCTGGGGGGGTTTCTTCTCCCCCGCTGTCGTCACAGCTCCACGAGCTTCTTTCCGTCAATGAGTGCGTCGTCTTACTCTGCGCAGCTCTGCATTTTAGTTGAACTTTCCGATGTTTGCAGCGGTTTCCTCCTCCTCCTCCTCCACTGCCCCACACCCCCACCACCCACTTCCTCGCTTGACTTTTTTTTAGCTGCCACAACTGACAGAGAGCCAATTGCAGCAAACAACCAACTCTACCTGTTCCACTCCTTCGCTGGCTGTCTCTGTTTTGTTTGTGTCCTCCCTGGACTTTCCATGCGCGGCGTCGCAGTCTCCTCCCTCTCTGCGAGCTTTGCTGCTTTCCACTTGCCTTCGCATTCCTTTGCCTGCTCTTTGCTTATCTTTTTCTCTCGTCCCCCCCCCTGCGGTGCACGCCACGCCCACTGTACTTGGCGAGGGACTCACCTGTGTGCCTGCCCTCCCTCTTTCACACTCTTCTCCCTTCCGGTGGCGGAGCTAGACTTTTACCCTCGGGGTTGCCAAGGCTACCTCATTGGGTCCGCAAAAGAAAAAAAAAACGCTCTCACCAATCAACATCCGTTTTTATATGGAATAAAATTTGCACTCGCACGTGCGCTCAGTTACTGTATTCACAGAGTTGCCAGGTCTATTTAAATGTTTTTTTTTTTTGGTCTCGCTAAGGGTAGCCACATTAATGAGCCCACATTTTAAGGGTATGATCATTCAAATTTGAAGACGCAACGGCAATGAAATTATGTAAAAGTGAATAACAGAAATTGAGAAATGTCATCCGACAAGGCTGTAAAAGTGCGTATTTAAACTTGATTATTGCCATTTTTTTTTTCTCCAGGTCTGAATGTCATTATTCACCTTTCATTTCTTTGATAAGTTTGTTTACATCCCAGGGAACCGGAATGTTCAACTCCAAAGTAAAACGTTGGTAAAACCAAGTCAAACAACCAGTTCGCAAATTACAGAGAGTGATTTCAGGTCTGAACAGGTTTCGAATGCTGTCATATGAAAGAAGTAGTGAAATGCATGGCGCTGTCATTGTCATCCGTTCCCTCATCGTTGGTGCATTCAAAAACACACTCATGAGCATTCGGAATCATGTTCAAATATGCCATTCAGTTATTCAGAATGCCCACAAAAAAAAAATAAATAAAAGGAAGCGTCGGGAAGTCCGGATGGAAACAGTTCAAGCACGATCTGCTGACTGATTTATAACAGTCTGCGTTTGGAAATTGCTGGCAGAAGAAGGTGCTCTGCCTCTCCGATCACACACACTCTTTCAGTCGGATTGAATTCCTCGCTGACGGCTGCAAATGTACACTTTAACGATGACAACCTTTTTCTTTTTAGTCTAAAATGGCTTACTTTCGCTAGAATGCCACCAAGCATTGTTGCCACCATTAGAATGCTTCCCGAGCTAAAAGTCACGCATTTGTCGGCCTGACTCTTCTTCTACTTGTTCTTTCTCCATTTCTTCTTCTACTGTCTTTTGGCGGTTGGCAAATGCTTTTGGTGCAGGACCACCGGTGGCAGGAACGCAGAGAAAGTCAGCATGATGAGGGAACGGGGACTCGGGGTACTGGACCGAGGTTTCATTTCAATTTATGAGTTGCACCTGAAAATAAATAGCAGAAGCAGCCAAACTATGAAAAGAGTGTGATTTATCGTCAGGAAAACACGGAGAATCTCTCTGCTGGCGTTTTTGTTGTCGTTTGGTGGTGCCTTGGGGCGGGGCCAAACTATGTGAGCTCTCCACGCGTCTCCGCTCTCATGAAAGTGCAGCAAAAGCACATTTCTGGTGCTCTTTGCTCCCGCTGTATCTTATCAGATCAGTGTTTGGAGAGAGGAGGCGGTTCAGAGCACGGGAGGTGCCGGTCCGTCCGTCCGTCCGTCCGTCCCAGTGGACTCGGCGCACACTCAGCTCTGACTCAGCACAATTTACGGGACGACCGCCGACAGTATTCAAGACTTGATCGAGGCATTGATTAGCATCATGGATTTTTTTGGGGGCGGGGTTGGGGGGAATTCTGCTTTCAGGGTTGTTTGTAAAGGAGGCATGAGAGAGTTCTCAGATGAGTGATCCTGCAATAATGAAGCCGATCAGATGAGATTTTTTTTCCAATGTCAGATGGGTGCCTTGGCTCAATAAATGTTGGAAACGTTGCTCTTGGCGGATTATTACACAGTAGGTTATAAAAGTTCACACATCAGTCAAATGATTTTTTTTCTTTTTGGAAGGTACTTCGTACAGTACATCATAGCTAATGATTTCTCGCCATACCGGTAAATAATTATCAAACAAAATGCCGACGTAGAAATGTGTGTTTACATTGCAGCACATGTGCTACTAAACCAGAAACCAAAGCTTTTGATACCTTTTCCTCATATCCTTCATTTCCCTCTGGAATTTGACCAGACGGAGTCTTTCATGTTAGCACAGTGGGATGTTTTCCAGTGTTCTTTTGCTAATTATGAAACACACGTTGCCCCCACCGCAACCCGCAAGCTCGCACATGCTTGGTAGTAACACGAGCATTCTCGCCAGCCAATTTAACTGCGGACCAACGGTGCGATGAAGGGGCATGCACCCTTACAAGGAACACAACAAACGGGTCTGATAGGGCCAGATGACATTTTCATTTAGTGGTTGAAGTCAACGCCATTAAAGGTCTCAATGACTTTGTTTTCTTTGGTAATTGCATCAGCCCATATGTAGAGTCACTCCGCGTTCGCTTCCCCTCTTAACAAATGAAGGCGAGCCTAATAAAGTAATTAGTCGCTCGTCAAGCGCGATAACTGTCATGTGTACATGGCGAGAGTAAGATGGAATTTAGTTACGCCTCACTCGCTGGTAGCGCATAAAGACAAGCAGACATTCACGCCTATGGGCGACTTGCAATCTGTAATTAACCTTACACGTATGGTTTTTTTTGGGGTTTTTTTGCCACGTGTGAACAGGCAAACCCCACACAGAGGCCCGACATTCAGACATCAGACTCAGGAGGTCGCGATTAACCAGGAGCCACCGCGCTGCCCTTGGAGTTCTCGATTCTGTTCAACTGCTGTCAATCTGTCGCTATACTTTAGGGGTGCCCAACCGGGCGATCGCGATCAACTGGTAGCACGCAGGGGGGGGGGAGTGGTGGTGTGTCTGGTATTTATATGATATATTTTTGTTTGAGAGTACAATGCACCCTAAGCATTGTATTAGTTTCACTTTCACCCAAAAAGTTTTTAAATGAAATAAAATCGCAGGTCAACTTTAACCTCCTAATGTTTAACACAACGTGTTTATCGACATCCATTTACATTGCATATAAATCCGTGTGTCTGGCGTAGAGGCAACTGACTGCTTTATTACTGCGGTGAGTGACATGAATAAAATGTGTTTTAATCCACCTCGCAGTAACACCTTCACATTGCAAAATAATATTAAAAAAAAAAATTGATACAGGATAACATGGCGTGGCAGTAAGGAAAAGACAGAGACATTTTTAAGGAGGATGAATCCCGTTTTTACTAAAGCAAGAAATACAGTGACCTTTAACTTCCAGTACATCATCTCCAAATGTTATCAAATAACATGACCCCAAGAAAAAAAAGAAATCCAAACGCTTTTTTACTCACCGGAAATGCTGATTCAGACCTCCTTTCTTTGCTCCTGCTTGTCTTTGTAAGCTAGCTTTAGCGCCGGAACATGCTGCTCTGAAAGTGCCCCAAAAATCCTTTTCCAAGTTGTATCGAGACAGCCCGTAACGCTGTGAAATGACCTCGCAATGTCCAGTTTTGCCCGAAAAGTACACATTAAAAGGTATTTTTCATCATGTCCCACATCATCCTCCCCGAGAAATCAATCTCTGGGGCACACGTTGATCTCAACCAATCAGTGGGTGGCAAAACGCCGCCGTCATTCTGAGCCTTTATGAAGCCGCAGAGAGGTGAACTTAAAACGTGATTAAAAGGCCATCTCAGCCTGTGTGTGTGTGTGTGTGTGTGTGTGTGTGTGTGTGTGTGTGTGTGTGTGTGTGTGTGTGTTTGTGTGTGTTTGTGTGTGTGTGTGTGTGTTTGTGTGTGTGTGTGTGTGTGTGTGTGCGCACGCGAGTGTTTGACGCTAGCAGTCTGGAAGATGAAGGCCTTGAGCAGATGACTTTTACGTGACAACACACAGAATCTAAAATCTGATTGGATAAAAAAAAAAAAAAAAAAGAAAAAACAGATGTTGAAGCTGGGCATCCAAGTCACCCACTCCAAAATGATTGAATCCAATTCAAAGTGACAAATGTTGGTGAGCGCTTCTGATCTATTGGGCTGTGACTGCAGGCTAGCGCAGTAAAGAGTGAAAAATCATTTTCGTGAGCCAAGCAGTAGTTACGTTTCTTCATGAATTTCACATCTTACCTTGGACAAGACCAATGTCAATATCTGTTCCAGCTCGAGTCCTGAATTCCTTGAATTGTGTATTCAGTGTTCACACTCTCGTTTGGACAACATTCCAGTCTTGATTTTGTTACATTGGAGGCCTCCTCAAAAAATGCTTTCTTTGAACGGCGCGTTATCGCACGGTGCCCACAAGTTAGCTTGCTACGCGATCCATTTTTTTCCCCAGCCCGTTTCTCGTAAATTGCGATGGAAATAAGACGGATAGTTGTGATCAAATCTCACGACCGGATGGTTTGATGACTTCCTTCCTCCTGCAAGCCTCCCGATGTTGTGCTTCACAGTAGCAAGTGAAGCCTTTTATGAACGTCTTGCGGTGAGCGCTGTCCTTTTGCATCTGCTTCTGCCCGACAAGTAAGCGGGTGTGATGAGATCGGGGACGACTTCGTCACGCCGCTTCACCTTTTCACATCCCCCGCCGATGAAAAATGGATGCATGGAAAGAGACTTAGGCCAGCACTTTTTGACCTCCGCTGCGATTGTGTTCGTGCATTGTGTCATCTCAGCGATGGCTGCGAAAAATGCTGAGCAGTATTAAGATGAAAGCGGGGGAAAAAAAAAACAGATCATTAAGCGGTGGGCTGGCTGCCATCGCCGCATTGCCGGCTTTCCAATCTGGTGGCGCGTTCACGAGCCAAGGTCAAAGGTTTGGTGGTGTCCCATGTGAGCATGTGAATGATGGATCCTGCCCGCCCATGATGGAATAAGCGGTGGCTAGG